AAAAAGTCATAATTTTGCACAAAGAAAGAGGAATGTATAAATAAGCTGATGGCTACATAATTTTTATACTAATTATTTAGGTGATTAAAGTAAAACTACAAAGTATCTTAATTTGGCTAATTTACTAGATCAGAGAATCATTTTATTAACATTTCCAAGTTATTTTTAGAAATATTTGTCCTTGTTACAGTATTGTCAGTACTCTGATTGGTCTTTCAGTATAAAAGGCCATTCTGCTTTTATTTGAGATCAAGCCAAATGAAAAGTATCTAGCAAAGCAAAAGTTGGAGAAAGGGAACCTCTTAACTTCTGCAGTATGGACACATTACTCATTCATGATAGCCTACCTTTCTTTTGTCTCTCCTGTCTTTTTTAGATTGCAAGGACTACAGAACACAAGCTATCTCCTATTCTTTGTTAATATAATGTCTTCTCCATAGGCTCCGGATCCTGAGAAGAGCCTGTTGGCATTACTTGAACATAAACAAATAAGGACAGCAGAGCCTCAGGGAATGAAACCCCCATCTGAAGGCATGAAAAGACTGACGATTTTTAAAGCATCTAAAGTGAATTATATTTTATTTTCAATTTCCATCAAGATAAATTAGCAAAAATGCTTTTAAAAGTATTAAGATGTCAAGTGTAAAGTATTTGCTTATTCATTAATATTTTATTTGATTTCTGTGCTATTCTAGTCAAATTGTCAATCTGACAGTTTCCTACTTTACCTCATTATTTTAAACTAGCTGGAGTTACTCGCCGTTGCTCAGGAAACCGGAGGAACAACATGTACAAAAACAGTAGTCCATTATCTTTTTTGGAATTGTAGAAAAGTTGCACTGATTTCTATAGTGATTAAAATATAAGTCTGTGTCATCCCTGGAGGGGAGGGGAGTGACACCTTGGGTGGAGGGAAGTTTACACGTGGGAGGGGTGCCCAGCTCGCATCCAGGGCTGTAGGTGCTGCGGGGGGTAGGGCGGGTGCCTGAGCCGTTGTGCACGTGGGGGTCGGGGCACTGCGTGCCAGCGCGGAGAGGGGGACGAGAGGGTTGCTTATGTAACCTCGCGGGAGGGAGGGGGTGAGTTCCAGACGGAGCTGGGGGCCGCGGACGGTGGGCACAGGACATAGGGTGGGAGGGGCGGCCCCTGCTGCGCAGCGCAGCAGGTTACTTTTTGATTTCTACAGTTTGAGCTTGGGCCCGATCAGCTCCAAAAGTACCTTAAAACCTTCTCCTGGAGGAAAGGTTATCCCAAGCAAAGTCTGGTTATGGTAGCTCTTATAGTGTCCAAGTTATTAGCGCACAAACATACAAACATTCGCCTTTATATATTAGATATATATTTAAGATACTTTTTATTCTTCTGCATAAATAGATACATCATGAAAATATTTCCCTTGTATTCCTATTCTGCCATTGCAGTTTTTAATTTAAGAGTTTAAAAGGTAATTTGGGGGAGGAGGGGTCAGGAAAGAGTCTTTTCCAAAACCACACGTTAAAATAGTTACCAAAAATACAGTTCTATATGCCTTTCCCCCTCAATTTCCACTGCATTAGAAGTTGGTCCAACCTGCTATTTTGCATGCAAGCTTAATTTTCAGAAAATTACTTAATCATGAGTATGTTTATGAAAAGCAGTCAAAATTGTTTGACTTGGTGTATATGTCTGTTCACATTTGTTGATTAACAAGCACTTGATTTTTGTATACTCATTCCTTACTGAGTTAGTTTAATAACCTAGCTCACTATACTGCATCAATATTTTGGCACTCTTAAAATTTTTAAGTGAATGTTATGCCTATCGTGAGTTATTATTGAGACAAATTATACATAGTTGATACTTTCAAATTTTCCCGACAAATCATTTCATCCAGCCTTGTAAGTGAATTTTTTCTGATTTCTGAATTTCCTCTGATTTCTTTAAATGTTTTAGAATTAATTTCCCCAGGACTGTATGCAGTATTTGATGTTTGATCTTGCCTGTGATAAACACAGAAAGGACTATCACCATTCTGCTCAATCATGCAATACTTCAATAAATGTAGCCCAAAATTATATTTACTTTTTTTCCCACCTGGTTTATACCAAAAGCTTCTTTCCTTTTTCATTATACTTGCAGGTTTCTTCCAGCATTACAACTTCTGCTTTTTTCCAGTTGGACTAACCTCCCTATCTAGAATTTATCACTTCCACCTATTATCTGAATACTTAATCATGTCAGAGGATTTAACCTGCAGGCACAGTAGACTAGATCTCCCATTTCTTATATCTAAGTGTGTACAAAACAGATATATACATTACTGAGTCTTACCAAGGGTTCGGAAAGATCTTTGGTTTGGTGTATGAGAGAAGAAACCAGGTTTCAATGCATTTGTGATCACTATGTCAAAAAGCTCTGCAAAATCATTCCTAAAATAACAAAACAAAAAAGTAAAACAACTTTGAAGCACTTAAAAAAAAGGAAATGGTCTTTTAATTTCATTACTATTACTAGAAGGTTTACCTGGTATTGCTTGGGTCCTTCAGGGGAGAGGCTTGGGAATGTGGGGGACTTGGGGCAGAAAACATAGGGGTTACAGGAGCCAGGGAAGGGGATAAAGGTGTGCAGGGCACAGGGGAGAGGGTGGGAAGTGCAGGAGTCAGGGCAGGAGGTGGGGGCAGCTGGCGGCTGCTCCCTGAGACTGGCCCAGGGCAGCAGGGTGGCAGGGAGACGTTGGGATGGTAAGGACCTCTCCTCTGGGCTGGACAGGGTGGTAGAGACCATGCTGCCCGAGTAGCAGCTGCTCTATGGCTCTCCGAGATGGCAGGGGGTGCACTTGCCTGCTGTGCCCTTCCTCCCCCCACCGTGCTCATATTGAAGTAAAGAATGTATTAGTGCTACTTGTCCCATAGTTCTGGAATTTATTATGGATGGATTTTTATTTCAAGGTGAAAGCTAGGAAAGGAGAATGTAGTTTAATAGTCTAATCACAAGATTGGAAACCAGATATTTCTGAATAAAACTCCCACATCTGACCATGACTCCCTCCCTCCTTGAGCAAAACATTTCACCTCATTCCCTAAATTATCTCCAGCTGGAAAACGGATCTAAAAATTCTTCTCTACAAGTCTCTGAAGGAAGTTATTAAAATATAAATTAGTCTGAAGTAGTACATAAGTGGAAAATTATTGCCAAACCTAGGAAATTGTACTATGGAATATATAAACAAATATGAAAATTGTATAAAAGTGCTTCTTCAAGGTGTTTTGTAATGTTTGCACTATCTTGGACCATCAAGTCTCAGAGGGGTAGTCGTATTAGTCTGTAGCTTTAAAAACAACAAGTAGTCCTGTGGCACCTTAGAGACTAACAAAAATAGCTTTAGTCTGGAAGGGGGAAAACAGCAAGTACAGCAATGGCATAATGAGCTGGAATGCTAACAAATATAAAAACAGAACCAACCAGACTATTTCAGATGTACATATCTGAATAAAAATATGCATTATTGATATTTAATATGTACTATAGGAGTCTTTCAAAAATTTACATTTCAATAGTTATGAGACATATGTTTTTGTGGATTTTATAAGATAAGTAATTGGATTTGATAAATCATTAAAGAGAGATGCAATAGAAGTATTTAAAAGTTTCTTTTGAAGTTAGAATTTGACACACTCCTTTCCATACTCTGACTTTCGTTCATGGTAATCTTATTAACAAACATGACAGTGTAGTGTATCAGACACTTGATGAAGTGTTGAAGGTGGAAGAAGGCATCTGGAACAGATTTAGAGAGAACTGTTTTGACTATAACTCAATGTTAAAAATAAAAAGAGAGAGAAGAAAAACTAAAGTTTGGACTATCCCAGTTTTCTGTAGAAATGACCAAAGTAAAGTAACAGTGATCTCTTTCCATTTTTCTGTTTTTGACACATTTAAACAGCACCTATTAACTAAGCTAAATCAGAAGACTTGAATTTCAGTAAACACTACTACAGCTAAAACAATAATATATTTTCAATAATGAAACTGGTTTTCAAATAACCTTTATTCTCCTAACAAGCTGATCTATCCTAATTAAAACATAGAGGTTAAACATTTCAGTTCAACTAGAAGTGTTTTTTATGCTTTTGATTTCTTCTCTATTCCAATCTTTAAAAAACTCAGCCAATAACTTGTTTAGTGCCTATTCAAGATGTAAAACACTGGCACTGGAATCCTTATCTTTAGCTTCTGACTGGCTCTATAAAGCATTTTAGTTTACTTTTTTGTGAGTTCAGTTCAACATCACATAGCACAATGGACATACTTAAATGTTTTTCTTCTATAGGTTGAACCTCTCTAGTCCAGGAATCGCAGAACCTGACCAGTGCCGAACCAGAGAATTTGCCAGACCACGGGAAGTCAATATTGTCTAGCAGCATTACCAACACTTCCACTGCTTACTAGGCTCTTAGAAGACATGTAGGGGTAAATTAGATAGATAACAGTAGAGAACACCGAGAACCAGGACTGGTGGCTGTAAACGAACTTTATGGGACTACAGGATCCTTGGCCATACCCAAGTACAGGTACAGTTGCAAGGAGTGTTTGCTCCCATTGGCCTCTCACTGTGTGGATTCCACCAAGTTCAGCTTAAAGTAAGCCAACTCCAGCCACGTATTCTTGTTCTCTTGCCTCACAGAATCTTCTGCTGGGATGGTATTGGTAGGGCTGACAAGAGCAGTGGGCCTTAGAATTAACATCCTATTAAGATACATGGGGTCATTCACACTTCTTAAAACTACATTTCTAGGCTATCTGCAGACTCAAGCAAAGATCACTGCACCTGTTCATCCTTGATCACATATTCAAGCCTTTAATCACAACTGTAAAAGCTAGAAACTTACATTTTCATTTTTTAAAAAAGTGGACGTCTAGATTCTGATACAACTGCAAGATGTCAGCATAGCCCTATGGATGCCTATTCACTTCTCTGGTCCTGTACTTGTCTGTGCCAATGACCCACTTGTATGATCTTGGAAAATTGCTTCACATATCTTAGCCTCTTAGTTAATCCTCCCTTCACTTTGTCTAGCTTGTTTATACAGATTGTAAGAGATTTGGGGACGGAATTGCCTCTCAGCATATTTTTATATTGTGTCTACCTCAACAGAGATCCTATCTGGATTTGGTCATTTAGATTCTAGGGCATTCATAATACAATGAATAGAGAAATAAAGGCCAATGCCTTAGCCACAAGACTATCTTTCTGCTCCTTACAAGGCCTATGTTTCAAAAAACTGGTGATTCAAATGTGAAATATTACTTATAAACTTGTACAGTTTTAAGGACAGCCCACAACTACTAGTCTCCCTGTTCTGAAGTAATGTGGAACACTCTCTAAAAACAGATTCAAACCAAAACCCCAGACCAAATACCTTCTGACATCTGAGAAAGTTCAAGCCTTTATCCTTACTGCTCAGGGCCATCAATAATTCTAACTATGGTTTCCGCTCTTTGGGAGGTCTAATCAGAAATCAACCAAGATCAACCGTACACTTACCCAAGAATGTGTTCACACAGGAGTCTGCAATAGTCACTGTGAGAGCTGGTAATTAATAGCAGGACCTTCCCAGCATTTTTTAGTTGCCGTAGCCATTTTTTTACACACTCAGGGCAACTTTGTAAATATTTGGCTGGATCATTTTTCACTTCTGGGAAATATGTCCCACAGTTTTCTGAAAAAATAAAAATATAATTATATTCTAACAGCCAATCATATTGGCAAACTAAGCTATAAACACAGAATTTTTTCCTGCACTCCATGGGCAAAAATAAATAAATAAAATATTAAAAATAACAAAATAAAATGTAAAAGTCAGATATAAAAAGTTGAAGAAAACTTAAAAAGTTGTACAGACTCATAATTCTTGATTTACACAAAATGGAAAAGAAAACAACGTGACGTAATAGCAGAAAAATGTATGTAAATCTCTCTCTTTGGTATTACATACGTTTCACTGCTATTGCCTGTCTTATTTATTTTCCCACAACATTTTAAATAATGAATTATTGTCTTAAAAAGCACCTCACAGTTCTCTGTCTGATATATCACTTTACTGATTATTAGTATCTCAGTTTTTGGATATTCAACTTGAGGGCTACTCAAATAAGCCTGGTTTCCAGAAAGAATTGAGCACCTACTTCCTAATAATTACAGATCTTTAAGATATCTCAGTTGTGAAACCAAAAAATGGAGGCACTCAGAATCAGTAATTACTGTGGAAAATTTAGGTCGGCACCAACTGATCTGTAACAGCAGCTCTATAGCCATGACATTTTATCTTGGATCATTTTTTTAATGCATGTCATTGTCATTTTACCAGATAAAGGTGGATGAAATAATAATTAGCACTGTCAAATTATTTTTAAAAAAATGATTAATCATAGTTTTAATCACACTATTAAACAATGACAACACCATTTATTTAAATATTTTGGATTTTTTCTACATTTTCAAATATTGCTTTCAATTACAACACAGAATACAAAGTGTACAGTGTTCACTTCCTATTATCATTTTTAATTACAAATATTTGCAATGAATCATAGACCACTACAACCAGAAGTGACCTCAAGAGGCCATGGAGTCCAGTCCCCTGCCCTCATGGCAGGACCCAGTACCATCTAGATCATCCCTGATAAATGTCTATCTAACCTGCTATTAAATATCTCCAGGTATGGAGATTCCACAATCTCCCTAGGTAATTTATTCCAGTGTTTAACCACCCTGATAGTTAGAAAGTTTTTCCTAATGTCCAACCTGAGCCTCCCTTGCTAAATAAACTAAATAAGCCCAATTCTTTTAGTCTTCCTTCATATGTCATGTTCTTTAGACCTTTAATCATTCTTGTTGCTGTTCTCTGGACCGTCTCCAATTTCTCCAAATCTTTCTTGCAATGTGGTGCCCAGAACTGGACACAATACTCCAACTGAGGTCTGATCAGCGCAGAGTAGAGTGGAAGAATGACTTCTTGTGTCTTGCTTACAACACTCCTGTTAATGCATCCCAGAATCACGTTTGCTTTTTTTGCAACAGCGTCACACTGTTGACTCATATTTAGCTTGTGGGCCACAATGACCCCTAAACCCCTTTCTGCAGTACTCCTTTCTAGACCAGTGTTTCCCAAATTTATTTGGCCATGGAATCCTTTTAAATTCGAAAGAATTTTGCAGAACCCCTAATAACAGTCTCATATATGGAGCTGAAAAAGTAGACCAGAAATAAGTAAAGATAATAATAAACAAATGCTAAACAAGGTCATAAGATCAACATTTAGATTAATTCCATATATTTAAATAAAAAAATCACATAATATTATTTTTTTAATTATAAAATGTTATTGTAATGGAATTTTCTCACGGAACCCTTATTTTCACTTTGTGGAACCCCAGGGTTCCTCGGAACACCATTTGGGAAACACTGTCCTAGGTAGTCACTTCCCATTCTGTGTGTGTGAAACAGATTGTTCCTTCCTAAGTGGAACACTTGGCATTTTTCCTTATTAAACTTCATCCTGTTTATCTCAGACCATTTCTCCAGTTTGTCCAGATCATTTTGAATTATGATCCTAACCTCCAAAGCAGTTACAACCCCTCCCAGCGTGGTATCATCTGCAAACTTAATAAGCATACTTTCTATGCCAATATCTAAATTGTTGATGAAAAAAGGAAACAGAATGCCTTAGTGCTTTTCAATTCACCCCATACAAGAAGTGTAGTGCAATCTCTTGATTGTAAAAGTGCAACATTCAAAAATAGAGAATTATTTTTATATGACTGCACTCGAAAACAAAGCAATATAAAGCGTTAAGAGTCTATAAGACCACCCAATCCTACTTTTTGTTCAGTGAATCACGGACACAAACAAATCTGTTTACATTTGCAGGAGATAATGCTAACCTTTTCATTACAATGTCACCTGAAAAGATATTTACATGGCAAAGTTGCTAAACATTTGCATGCTCCTTCATGTTTCGGCCACCATTCTAGAGAACACACTTTCAGGCTAATGACAGAGTCTTCTCAAAAACGATGAGCATGGACTAACACACATTCATTTTCATCATCTGAGTCAGATGCCACCAACAGGTTGATTTTCTTCTTCTTCTTTTTTTTTTTTTGGTGATGGTTTGGGTTTTTTAGTTTTCGCATCGGAGTGTTACTCTTTTAAGACTTCTGACAGCTTATTTCACACACCCTGTCCCTCTCAGATTTTGGAAGACACTTCAAATTATGAAATATTGCATGATGTGCAGTAGCTATCATTAGAAATGTCACATTTTCCACCCTTTTTGTGTTTTGCCAAGTCTGTAGAGGAAGTGTTCTTAAATTGAACAACATGTGCTGGTTTGTTACCTGAGACCACAATAACACAAAACATATGGCAGAATATAGGTAAAACCATGGACAAGGAAACACACAATTCTCCCCAAAGGAGTTTAGGCACACATTTAATTAATACATTTTTTAACAAGCATTATCAGCATGGAAGCATGTCCCCTGGAAAGATGGCCAAAGCATGAAGGGGCATACAAATATTTAATACACCTGGCATGTAAATACCTTGCAATACTGGCTACAAAAGTGCCATGAGAACACCTGTTCTAACTTCCCGATTACATTATAAATAAGAAGCAGGCAAAATTATCACTCTGAAACGTAAACAAACTTAACAAAAAGTAGAACTGAGTATGTTGGGGACAACAATAAAAGTTGCATCTCAACTTTTTACCCCAAATGTCTATTTATAACCTTCACATGTCTGTAAATATGCCAAAACTCCAACTGACAATCCCTGGCTCTTTTACAGAAAAAATACTTTCACAAAAACTTTTTTTTTAAACACTTAGTCTTATATAACACAAATGGAATCAAGTACAAGTATCAGATTCAATCAAGTCTGCATCTCTTCAGCTTTTCATGATTGGAGAAAGCACAACTCAAAGACATAAGTGTTTCATGAAAGACTCTCTTAAATGTGTGTTTCCATGGAACAAAGGCAGATTTTCATGCAAGCCTGTTTCTGAACCACAGTGTATCTAACTTCCTTGAAATATAGCCTATGCTAACAAACAGGCTATTTTTCCCAAACACATTTTTAAGAGAACAATTACATGAAATATAAGATATATTCTATTTTTAATCAAAGACAGAAATGTAAATAAATAAAAGAAATGTTTAGCACAGTAGAATACTGTCAGAATATTTGGAAAAACGTGGACATTTCTTTTCTGAATTGTTTCCAAAATTATATAAAGCTCTCCTTCCACACAATCAAATCTTTCAGGTGTCTTATAGGGTTTTTGCCTAACCTCTCACTGATGATCCGTTCATATTTTCTGTTCATATCTTTATATTTTATCTTTTAATTGTATAACAACTCTGATAATAGGCTCCTTAAGGCAGAACTCTATCTATAATCTATTTTTATTAAGCACTATGCACTCCTTTAATTTTTCCCGTGCATATATAGAATTAAATTTTGTTACATCCACTGATATGGAGGTGATATGTGACACATCACCTCCATATTGGTGAACATAACAAAATTCATATGGATGGGGGTGTGGCTGAGTGTGGGAGGGGGGCTCAGGGCTGGAGCAGAGGTTTGGAGTACAGGCAGTCCACTTACAAACGGGGTGAGGCAACCCCGCACTAGCACCTCCCCCCCAGCAGACCAGGGAGATGCGAAGCTAGCGCCCCCCCACCCCAGCAGACCAGGGAGAGGTGGAGCGGCTTTTCTCAGCAGACACCTCAGCTTGAGAATAAAGCCTGAGGGAAGTGAGGTGTGGGAGAATAAAACTGAGCTCTGGAGAAATGTTTGGCTAGAGTTTCCCCTACAATATGTACCAGTTCCGACTTACATACAAATTCAACTTAAGAACAAACCTACAGTCCCTATCTTGTACGTAACCCGGGGACTGCCTGTACAGGGGTGTGAGGGTTATGGATGGGGTGCGGGTTTTGGAATGGGGCTAGGGATGAGGAATTAGGCTGCCTAGGGCTACATTGATGAGAGAGGAATCCTCAAGCTCTCTTCCCTTGCAGCAGCACCTAAGCTGCAGGGGGAAGAGAGAAGCTCATCTCCCCAGCAGGCCCTCTGCTGAGGCTACGTTTAGACTGAAGGCTTTCTTCGGAAGAACCTTTTTTTGGAAGAGATCTTCCGAAAAAACTTCTTCCAAAAGAGCACATCCACACACAAAAGCACATTGAAAAAGCGGTGTGCTTTTTCGAAAGAGAGCGTCCAGACTGATTGGATGCTCTCTCGCATAAAAGGCCACCAGAAACCACATCAGGCAGGGCTTCAGGTCACCAGTGGCTTCCAAGTGCTGGTGCCGGAAGCTTGCAGAGATGCGCTTAAAGGGACCCCCCCGGACAGATGTTTCTCTGCTTCTGCTGCGTGCTTGCCTACCTCTTCGAGGGACAGCAACTCTCGCAGTGCCTGCTGTGGTTGCCCTGTTTTTTTGGACACCACAGTTTTTCTCTTGGTGCCATGGAGCCATCTCCTCCTCCTCCTCTGGCTGGCTCTGGTCCTCCTCCGCCATGTCCTCTGGCTGGGCGATGATAGGGGTCTGGAGGCCGGAGTACACATTGACGGGTGGGGAAGATGTTTCCTCACCCCCCAGGGTCTGGTGCAGCTCATTGAAGTAGGAGCAGGTGTGGGGTCCTGCCCCTG